GCTATGTTTACATTGTAACAGCTAGAACAAAGCTAGCTCGATAAAGATAAACTTTATTCCTAGATTCTGTTTTTTTTAAAAAGAATTCTGGGTGTTCTTTTGGGTTGATGTTATTATGCTTTCCCCACTGATGCAAGTGGTCGATATTCGAAACCAGTTTCAATCCAGAAATCAGAATACTCATTGTGAAGAGGGATAAAACATAAAAATAACCTTAGTCAAGTAAAGCAGAACGTAGAATAATATACACCCGTAGATTAATAATGGGTCCAATTCGAAAGAAGATTACTATGAAGATTACCCGTACCGTAAGCCACATAAATATTCTTCTCTTGCTGGTAGATTTTTTTTAACTCCTGTGGCAGTGGAGACTTCAGGGGTTATTGGCCCTCGTTCGATGGCGTTCCTTCGAAGGGTTTGCGGGATGGCGTCTCGATTAAAGGACAAGCCTCGCGAAACGGAGTGGCTCTTGCAGCGTGTCTCACTGGCGATGGTTCGAGGTAATGCTTTCTCCATCATTGTGGCTGGCAGAGGATAGAAAAAAAATTGTTTATAGTTACTTTGTTCAAACTTTTTTTTTCAGTAAATAAATTTCTCTATACTTTATTGATCATATTCATTACGGAATCCGTTCATCAAGTAAGAATTTTAATTTTTATTCTATCATGCAAAGAACTTAACTTTTTGTATGGTAGCATATTTGGAAAAAAAGACTTTTGAATAAAGAATTTCGGAGAGCAATTATTTCGATGGTAAATAATGTAAATAATTTGAAATTTGTTTAAGAAAACATCATTATACTATTGAAAGTATGAATTATATTGTGAGCTATTGCTTTATCATGAAATTCGGAGTAAACTTTGGTAGACTTTTTGGCCCCAAGCAGAACTGAACTCAAAGTAAGCAGTATTTCCCTCTTATCATTATAAACATACTTTTAAATATAAAACATATAAATTTCTTTGAAAACATTACAGACAATTCGTCGGTGAATTTACTTTTCCCTACAGTGAAATAATACAAACAGCGTCAATTCGAAGCCATTTTGTCTACGCATGCGCACATCACATTTAAGACATTCGACCTTCATTGTTAGTCTCGACACCCTCACCATCAACGCCAAGAACCTAAATGTCAATCATGCTTAATATTTAATTCCACATTAAATCGGAAAAGTATGTACCAATTCTGCAAATGTTATTAGATTTGCTCCAAGCCGAATTAATTTAAAAGATATAAGATATAAAAAAAATAAAAAAATGCTAATTCAATTATTATCCTTCATTATCCAGTTATTAAAATCTCATTCCACAATTTAAAATGGAGGCCAGTCCAAAGTAAATATTTTATTGAAATCAATTTCTATGATTTCGCCGATTTTCAGTGCCTCGTAACAAAATGTTGGATTGTAAAGCGAAGCGTCGAGTTCAACAGAATGCTGGCAATTATCAAAATGATTGCCGCGTTTCTCACTGTCTATAACAAATCAAAAGCGAAAACATTCATGATTTTAGAACCGCGAAGACGGGATGTTAATTACTATGGATTTTCCAAGACAATTTTTTAATCGTGTAGCGCTGATAGAAATGCGCAGAGAAACGGAGAATAACAAGTATTGTGGCAAAATAATGGTTTCTGAAGAAATAGCAACGAAATTATTGTGAGCCAAATCAACTTCTTTTTCTTTTTATGTACCATGTCATTTCATGACGTAGGTGATCATGGCTCTCCATCTTCTTCTATCCCTTGCAGCTCTTAACAAGTTCCTTCCCTCTGCTTCCTCCCCCAGACCACGTTCTGTCATTCACTTGCTTAAGGCCGCTCGGTATGTCACGCGTTGTTTTCCCTTGTCTTTCTTCCCCTCTATTCGACCCGTGAGTATCAGCTTCTCCAGGCCCTCCTTACTCATTATGTACCTCTTCCTGATGTTAAGTATAAGCCTCCTTGTTTGCATCCTCTCTACGACCTCATCATTGCTCAAACGCTCGGTCCATAATATCCTTAGCATCCTTCTGTAGAACTACATCTCCGTTGCCTCGAGTCTCTTCTTCCTCTTTGAGGAAATCGTTCAACATTCGCTGCCGCAAAGAAGAACAGTAACGGCTCAGTATTCTTCTCTTTGTTACCAAATGCAATGCTCTGCCCGGCTTTTGGAATGTGTCCTTGGGCATCCCAATACGTCTACGGATCTCAGTGTCGCACTTACTGTCCTTCTGCGTCTGTTTGATTCTAGTGTTCCCGACCTTCATCTATATTCATTCAGGCTCATCCTCTTACTGATGACCATGCATTCTGTCTTCTTGCAGTTTATGCTTAGTCCTTTCTTCTCACTCCCCGTCGCTCTGTAGGAGATTTTGTAATTTATTTTCCGTGTCTGCTATCCCTACTGTGTCATCTTCGTATCTTATGCTGTTAACATTATATCCGGTAGGGTTTCCAATTCTCTCAGGATTACCTCGCTGTATAGATTGAACAGATCAGGTGAGAAGACGCATCCTTGCCTTACGCCTCTTTCTATTTTTGCATATTCACTGAACTCGGTCCCTATGCGTATGCATGCTGTTTGCTGCCAGTATAGGTTCGTGATTATTCGGATATCTTTCCCGAATATATCGAGGTTGCTGAGCAGTTCCACCAGATCATCTTACCAGTTTTTAATGCAGTGTTATGAAATATGCGATACCGGTTCAGAATGAGAAGTCGGAGAGCCGAGTTCGAATTTCAGTCGGGTTCGTTACATTTACATACACGGAAATACCCTTGGAAATTATATGAATTCATCTCTTCTACCCCCCCGCCAGGTATGTGTTGAACTGCAGTGTAAACTGGGTCCTTTAGCCTTGGTTCGTAACCATTCTAACAGAAAGGAGTATAGTATAGTATATAGCCTTGGTGTAGCATATATTATACAGCTAAAGAAAGGATCGTTCACACTGTTTCGATGATCCTGACTATGGACGAATAATGATGATGATAAGGAAACGGAAACACAATAGGTCAGTCAGTCTTGAACTGAAAGAAACATAATCATCTAAGCGTGTATCACGTATGGCACTTAAAATGTCTTCCACACGATTCACCAGAGAGTCGAGGTGATATATCTGCAAGGCCCACACGACTCTCTTCTGGGTTGCTTTCCATTTTATTTTCTATGAGGATTATTGGGATTGGGATTCTATGATTGATTGCTCATGAGATCATGGTACACCAGATTCAAATTTTTTCAAAATGATTTAAATATTTTTGTATATAGAAATCAGAGTTTGTGTCAATATAATACTTGGATATTGGGAAGTTTTCAACGACCCATGGGTAGGTTGTGTGGGTCTCTGGGTTGTAAAATGAACTCAGACATATCGTGAATAATAAATACTAGCTATAATATCCTTGCCTCTTTTAGTGATTTTCCAAGCGTAGCTTAGATGTGGCACAAGGCCGAAAGTATGTAGCACCCAGTGAGGATCGAACTCACTACTCATTCGTAATTGTTCTAGCAAGACAAGCTTGCTAACCACTACACCACCTCGAGTTGCCCTCCTTGCTTAGTATATGAAACAATGTTAGATAAAAATATTGCTTTTACCAAAATGAAGATGTAGTGTTGGGGCCATGGGAAATCAAGGGAAATGAGGCTTGCGAGGCAACGTGTTAAATGACGGACAGGATTAATGTGCGTGTCATTTTAAAACATTGGTATCTGCTTCATCACAGAAAAGGTGAATTTTGCCAGTATATCATTTTTATTCCAAATACTCAATTTATGTAGGTGACGAGAAAGCTTGATCTACATGGAAAGGATATGCGAATAAGCTGCAATCTTTTTTTTTTCTTTTAAAGAAAATAATGTCTTGTATACGAATAATGAATGAGTAGAATGTATATACAAAAAAAAAAAGTAAAAAAAGAAGCTAAGTGCAAAAAACAACAACAAAAAATAGGGATTATCTCGCCGGATTTTATTTAAACTTTTCAGAGCAAAAATTCTTTGAGAATATGAAGATTGGCTAGAATTTATGATCTCTGCAGAACAACCTGCACTATGTAGTGTTGACGACAAATTCAGGCGGAATACTTAAAGAACTATTAAACGATGTAGCCAATGAAAGCCAGAAAAAGGAATTGTTTGTAAGGACTATTTTGTAAGAAAACAGAATACAGGTGATAGGACAAATGTACAACTGAATGTACTTAAGAAAGTGTAGAAATTAATAGAGCCACAAAGGAAAGAAAATTGAATGTTCACTGTGTCGTTGTAGACAATTTTTCTCTGCAGAATCTATCTTAAATATTTATAATTCGAACATTCGTTCATTCATTGAATAATACTGTCACATGTGGTATGGTATTGCTATTATATATTTCGAAATTCTTGATAAAATACAAAGATGAATTTGCAATGTTATCTGTCCTGACCTGGCATCTCAACTTCAGTCACCTTCCCACTGCTGTAACGTGTCTTCCTTGTGCCATTTCTATAAACCATGGTTTCATTGCCATTGCAGAAAATTCTAAATGGATAAGAAAATCTGTGTTGTGGTGGCGGACTTGTGTTATCGGGAATAGATAACAGCCATCGTTATCTTAATGCTGTGTGCGAACATCTAATTGACAAAGGGTTTCATTGCCATTGCAGAAAACAGACCGGCTAGCTAAACTTGACAAACTACAGACCGAGACATTTCGACAATGTTATTTTGATAATGGAAAAAGATGGTGAAAATTCTGACGGCCAGTGTCGTAGGATTGCCTGACAAGGACCAGGCGAATACAGAGCTTTGGATAGATAAGAAAAATTAACTGTGTCAGAGGGGCAAACAATATTGTCGGGAAAGGATTTAATAGGCCATCTGTTAACCGCACACGAAGCCAACCCTGGGTTAAGTCTTTGCCGTTTTGACAAGACATCTATGGGTGTTAGAATTCGGTTATGATAATAAAACTATGTTATCAGAAATTGGCACCAGGAATGCAAATACGGCTAGGACAATGAAACTGTTTTTTCAAGACGGGGATCGGCTGTGTTTCGCTAGGCGACTACGTACTTGATAATTGGCATTGATAGATCCCAGGTGACATTGGGGATGAGAGCTGCGATTAAGAAAAGAAAAACATAATTTTTTTTGAGCAAGATATATTTTTTTTCTTAAAACAAAGCTAGCCGGATCACACCCACCCGGTTGGACGCCATTGGACGAATGTCAACGAGGGCCAGGCAGAGGTGATCACGTGACGCAAGGGGGGGGGACGCCGCCGACCATTTAGAGGATAGGTATGAGAAGTTGCTACGAAGAAGTGTGGAGAACCGTTGACGTCCCTCTGAAGTATGGTGAGATATCCATATGAGAATAAGAGAAGGTGGGAGTAAGAGAAGACTTCCAAAAATGGAAAGGAGTGGAAAATTCCTGACCAAAAAAAAAAGAAGTGGATATGGATTTAGAATTAACGAGGAACCTCCAACCCCGACAAAGCCCACCCCGGTTTTGGTCGCAGCGAGCAGAAATCAGTTAAGTTCGGACTCCGGTTTTACAGAGTTCACTCTTCAGTGCTCAGTTGAAGCAGGCCTCGCAGAGCTGACTTGAAAGATTCGCGCAACTTCCGAACTCATCTTCAATCCAAGAACAATTTATTTTGAAGAGCGACTTAGATCAATACCACCAAAATAAGTTTTTTCGACTATCACCTGAAGACACACCAAGAACCAATTTCTTAAAGAACAGACAACTTAAGATGTTAAAACTCACCTAACAAAAACAACGTGTCACAATCCATATAGCGAGTCGGGAGATAGACGCAGTCCTATGTATCCAGCAACCAGATATAAAGTATTGTTATCCTTTTGTTGATATTTTGAACTTTTTGAGTTATCATTTTATTTTCTTTTATACATATTTGTGTGATACCACCCTCGTTTGAACTCAATTTGCATTACGGCCCCAACGACTGATTGATTTCGTCTGCCTAAGATCAATTCACAACGTGAGTAGGCGGACTGGAGATCAACGCAGTTACTTTGGTAACCAGACGTTGGAAGCGAGTTGGAAACGACGAGGCTGATATCGAATCTAACCAGATTCCCATCCAAATCACCAAAAGTTTAGAACGTCACATTTGGGTGCCGCGACCGATACCAAGCCAGTTGATCGTCACAGGACGGGACAACACGACTGACGCAGACAGGCGGACGTCACGTTTGGAGCGGCGACACCCGAACGAAGCAGCGAGGAGCGAGCGAAGGCTGTAGAGAGGGGACGTCACAACCTGTTATTTTTTTTATCTCTGAGATGAGGTATTATGATTACTTACATTATTTACATTATTCAAAGTGTTATCCTCAAGCAGACATGGCCGATTGGTTAAAGTCGTTGGTTAGATCCAGTGACTAGACCCAAAGAGTTGTGAGTTTAATATAAGGCCACAGCAGTGGTGAACCAAACTTGGAGAGTTGAGATAAAGGGAATTCACTGAAACGTCCGGGAGAGGCATGGTACTTGGAACTAGAACAATGTACCCCAGTTGACGAAGTAAAGGATTTGATTCGAAATTCCAATCACCTGAAGAAGGCTGGAGCGTACAACGGCTGAAACATTGTGAATATGGCAATGAAAATAACGATAACAGTCGGAATAATGTAAGTAATACTGTTCTTTTATTGTTCTTTCGCCTTAATAGTCTTTTTTTTCTCATATTCTTTCACACTTAGTACCCCCCGTTGCGTCTCGGTGGCTTTGTTTCCTTGAGTGGGGAAATAATTAAAAAAAATAAGAGTTAATAATAGATAAAAAGTAATATTCGAAACGAAATAAAGAGTGACGTTTTAATCTTGGACAATAAGATCGCAAAGAAAATACTTTAAGCGAAATGAAGTAATCTTAACCGATAATCTTTGAAAAGATTATGGGCAGAAGATTATGTGAAAAGTTACAAGCAGAATAGAAACAGCTGAAATTTTGGGACACATAACGAGGAAAGAAGGTCTACGGAGTTTAATACCCGCAAGGCGTATCGAATGCAAGGGATGGGCAGGAAAGAAACTAGAAACCGACTTAGGGTATACGGATGAAGGAAAATTTATCACGAAGACAAATATCAAATATTGTCGCGAATAACAAAAACAGGAAGCAGTGGCGAAACGTGATCGCGCTCACTCTGATGGGAGACCGCACGCACAAACACACACAGAATGAGAGAGAGCGCGAGATTTAGCGAGAGAGAGAGAGAGAGAGAGAGAGAGAAGAGGTGGGGAGAGGATTGACAGAGATAGATTGAGAGAGACAAACGCTGAGGGAGATAGGCGGAGCGAAAGAGACAGTGATGGGGAGAGAAAGAGAGGGAGAGAAAACTAAGAGAGACAGACGTAGAGGTATAAATAAAGAGAGAAATTGCGAACGATAGGGAGAGAGAGATAGACAGGAGGAGACGGATGAATATATAGAACAAAATGGAGAGACACGTAAAGGGAGATAAAGAGAGAAAAACTAAAAACAAGAGAATGGGATGGGGGAGAGAGGGAGTTATATAGAGAGACTGAGAGAAACTGGTGCAGATGAAGTGGAGAACGATAGATAGATAGATAGATAGATAGATAGATAGATAGATAGATAGAGATCGGGAGATAGAGACGGATGGACATATGGAGAAATATTGACAGAGATAGACGTAGAGGGAGATAGAGAGAAATTCAGAAGAAGAGAAAGAGATGAGAGGTGAGAGGGATGAATATAGAGTGACTGAGAGAGACAGGCGCAGATGATGTGAAGAAGGAGAGAGATATAGAGATAGAAACAAATAGACGCAGAAGCAGATCGAGAGTGAGAGAAAAACAACAAAAGAGATAGATTGAGAGAGAGATAGTGATCGATTAGAAATGCATTTGTTCTTTACACATTCGTTCTATGGTTGATTAGTCTAAGCGAAATCAAGATGTGTCATCGATCAGTTTACGCAAGATAAAAAGAAAATTTAACAAGCGCTTGTAAATTACAAGCGGAATAGTTTTTACTGATGTTCTCTTCATCTTGCTTCATTCACTGTTGGGAGTTAAAACGAATCAAAGAGATCTATAATTCCAAACCTTTAATTTAATAATCATCGCTATTAGCTTATTCATTCAAACTAAACATCGCGTTTGAGGAGTTTAATAAAAACCCTGCTCTGAGAAAATCTATTCTATAATATAAAACACAATGATACATTTACCGGTTAAGTTGTCCGGATTCCTCTCTTCGCTAAGATATATTTTTTTTATATTAGCAGTAGCTTGAATTATTACTCGACGCTATCCAAAGCTTTATTAAAATAACGGAATATCTGATTAGTGAATCGGTTGTTAAAACACTTCATTTTTGTGTGCTTACTTTTAATTTTTTAAAAATTTTAATTATTTAAAAAGCAGAATACTTTATTGTATGCAACAATAGGGTTTACTGGATATTACTGAGTTTCTGTACGATTATTCTTTTCTGGAGAGAGCTTTATTCGAACTACCCTTTTTATTAAATATTCAAATGAAACGATTTCTCCTGGAATGCCCACAATTTAAAACATCAATCCCCACCCCAAGCAAAGCGATAATGCCACTAAGAAGCAAGGAGATACTGGGAGTGAAAGAGAATGAAAAGACAATAGAAGGAACCGGAAATCCAATTTTAAACAGGAAACAAGAGATAAATCTCTACTTCGGTTCAAAAGACGGAGAAGGAGCGTGAACCGGACGATGATGAGACGAAATTTCTTGTATGTTTGATAAAAGGGGCGGTTGGAATAAGGATATCTTGGGCGGATTTTTCGACGACAATGAATAATGGTCCCCTGTCTGTTTATTGGAAACTTAAAGGTAGATGAAAAAACATTCTAGATTATCCACGTAGACGAAAATAACTAATATAATTACAAAATTGATTAATCTTAATTTGAAATGTCTGTATATCAAAATGTATTAAACATATTAAATGTATTAAAACTTATTAAATGTATTAAATATTATTTTATATTATTTTAAATTTTATTTTAAATATTATTTTAAATACTATTTTATAAATATTAATATAAATATTATTAATATAAATGTATTAAATGTATTAAAACGCATTTAAATGTCTACATATTAAACCTTAAGTTAAAATGTCTTGCTTAAATCTTAATGTCATTTTTTGACGGCAAAGGAAACTGATTTGAAAATAGTTTCCGCTCATCAAAATCTTGTCTAAGTAAGAGAAAGGGATTAAATTTGGTTTGGTTTATTTTATTTTACGGTATATCAACACCTCAATGGCTTATTTAATACCGAAAACATTTTTAGGATAAGTTCGTATGAATAGAATATGTATTCCTTGTAAAAAATCAGTTTGTAGATCAGGTTTCATTGACGTATTTTTAGTTTGGTTTATTTTGTTTTACGGTATATCAACACCTCAATGAATTATTTAATCCCGACATGTTTTGGATAGGTTTATATGAATAGAATATGTATTTTTTGCAAGAAAACAGTTTGTAGATCAGGTTTCATTCACATATTTTTGTAAAGAGAGTTTTTACTCAAGAGTCAAATGTATTGCTAGTAATTTTGTTTTTCAAAAATGTATTGCTGGCAATATTTCTTTTCAAAAATGTATTGCTGGGCAAAGATTTTCCCCACAAAATGGTGTTTTTATTATAAAAATATATTTTTATACTTTCATAGTATTTTTACCCTAGTTTGGGGGTTTAGATATTTGCCCATAGCTAGGACCCTAACAAATGCTACGACTCCTGGTCAGGGTGGACCTGGGAACAACAGCAGTTAAGAGGTGGTTCCACGCTCCACAAAACCTCCTGATCAAAGACATTGCTGCCAGATGTAGTTTATCGTCATACCCGTAATCGAGGGATTAATTTCGATGCGAATACAGAATAGCATAAAAGAAGTGTTCGAAGAAACAAAATGTTGTAAATAATTGGCTATAAAAAAAGCAAAAAAAAAAAAGCAAAAAAGAAGCAAAATTTTGAAGCGTTGTGATGAAGAAAAAGAGAATGATTTTCAGTTTCTCTTTTCTACCAGGAAACAAACGACATATGCATTTAGATATTCTCAACAGATGTAAAGTCTTCGTTTTTCGTCAGTCACAGAATTCCTGTTTTTGGTATAGCCGCATGTGATTGAAGGTCTTTTCAGAAAACATGCAGCACTTTTAGCAAAATGTGCCTTTCCGTAGAGATTTGAAAGTTGTTTCATTTCTTTTATTATAGCTGCATTTGCAATTAAAGCAACTGTTGCTCTAATCCCAGCGATTATAAGCTATGATTGGGTTGAACAAAGCAGAAAGTTCTCGGTGAAAGTGCATTAAAAAAAATTATTTGCAGAATTTTATCGCTTACGTCGCGCAAGCCTGAAAAGGAATTGAATTAATAAAATTAATTAATTAAATAAAAATCCCCATAAAGGTAAATAAAAACAAGTTTGAAATCATCAGTTATTTGAAAATTGCGTTTATAATCGATTTACATTACTGCGAGATAATCCAATTAATCTAACTTAACAGTTCATTTTCCTTTATATTCAGATGAACGCAGAGACTATGGATAATTTTGTTGGCTCAAAACATCGCAGACAATTCGTAGAATGCACATTAAGGGTTGTTAGTCTATCTTAAACGTCGGGGACATATCTGGTGCTATTGTGGTAGATGGCCAACATGTTGTATATGTCCCATCTCAGCATTTGAGTCATGATTCTTCCTTTGAGTCGTCGGTCACGAGTAAGGTATTCAAACCAGATTAAAGTGAAAAAAAGAACTATCACCATCCTTAAATAATAAGATGCTTGCCAAAGAATTTTTTCCGAAATGTCATTTCTATTGAAGAATCTGCATATTTATTTCTGAAATAGCCTAACTTCCTTAATACTATGCTACAAACGGAAGTAGGCCATATATGAAGTTGTCTTATTTAAATCAGGAGAGTTTCCAATCCAGTCGATAGTACTTTTGCTCACTGGTAAGGCTTGTTATTTTGCTCGTGCAGCGTTACAAATTTCGCACGCTTGCTTGGAGTAACAGCCATCGCAGACAATGGCCTTAGGACAACTAATCGTCAGTCGAGACAATACAGTCTAGGCATGATGAAAATCATCACGGATGATGCAATAGATTCATATACTGCACAGAACCGCAAATGACATAATCTGAGGAAAAATAAAAATCGATAACACACTTTCACTCCAGTGGGTCTAAAACTGTCCGTATGTTGAAAGATAGGAAACTAAAGCTTTTTTTTTTTCAATTAATTTGTATAAGGGTGTAAGAACATGGCTCAAATTTTTAGGTTGATGTTTTGGTTTCGTAGTAATAGGCGGTTTGTGGCGAAACTACCACTGGCACAGCCGATTTTATGTTCAATTTCTTTTTCTCTGTCATATTGGAATAAAGTGTTGCTGCCGACACTTGGTTTTGAACGTGGATTTCCAGAGAGCAAGCACAGTCGACCTCATCTTGAAATAACAAGATCCCGTGAAACGGGCATTACAAAATTCTCCTATACTTAATTGTTAATTGATCCATAAACTTAGGCATCTGAAATACTTAGTATTTACTAATTCAACATCCTGAATCTTCATGCTGGATACAGGATAGGTGATATCACTGCTTTCATTCCAGTTTCAGATCATAATTACTGTTTTGCGAAAGGATTATCTTGCGTTAGAAACAATACGATGCAACGCAGTCTATAATCCTATATCTCAAATTTTTTTCATCGTAGATGCCTATTTAGATATACAGTCGTATGTTAAATATAATTTTTAAAATATTTCTGAGCATTAGTTTGTGAGCAAAATCTCGCAAAAAGAATTCGCTTAAAAGAGGTTAATTTGATATTTGTTGAGATTAAACTTTAAGCTGATTAAAAGATGCACAAAAGAAATCGATTTGTTAAACTGAATAAAAGCGTTTGATCAATATCAGAATATAATATAATGTTGTATGAGAATTGGATTTCATGTGATGGCTGCTGACAAAACAAGGTGAGAAAACAACAAAATATATGCAAGTATCGTTTGCTATGAGACGATTCGTGTCATATGAATTTTATTATTTTACGACGAGCGAGCATTGCAAAGGAATCAGCCAAGAGTTATTTCCCAAAATGTGACAAAAAAGACAAAACAATTATTTTATTTTTATTATGAAGAGATTTTCTTTTTATCTTAGTCGGGCTGAGAACTGTTTAACACTCCATGTAAATTCAATAATTGTTTCTTTTGCTTTATATACCAAGTCCCTTTAGAAAGTAGGATGATCCACTTAAATTTGTCGAGTAGGTTATTCGTTGCTTTTCTTTACTTTATTGTTCTTACCTTCGACAGACCACGTGTGTGTTAAATTCTCTAAGCCTATCTTCCTCATTTCTTCGGGTGTTTATTTTCTGATTGCTGCCCAAATACACAATTATTAATAATGTTAATGTAAACATTATTAAATTACATTATTAAATTACATGACCCGATAGTAAACATGGAAAGTAACCGCAATAATTTATCAGTCGTTTTAGCAGTAACTTGAATTACAAGAAATTATTAATTTATTAGTAGTTCAAACAGTCACCGAAATTCTTCATTTTTCGTATGCTCTGTCCATGGCATTATCAACATCTGTCAGAAGAATCACATCGTTATTGATTCAAGTTGTTTCAAGTTGTCCAGTATTTGCTGGTCTATAACGGGAGAGATGTCGCATGTGTGTCTGTATAGAATTGTAAAAAGATTTTTTGTATTTACTGAATTTAGTAAAGTTTATTTGTAGGCATCCCGTACTTGTGCTTCACTTATTCATTTAGCGAATCCTTTTCTATTAAGAAACGGAGGTATTGTTTAATTTATGCATAAATTATACAGATATATAGTTTTGAAGAAATGTATTTGCTGTAATCATTTCTTTAGGGGAAGATTCTTTATAAAGAAGTCGGTCTCATGAATCTATCCAAACTTAGCCATGTTTTATCTGTACGTTTCAGTTAATCAGCTCCTTCCTTCCTTCCTTCCTT